AAGCTTAATGACATTTGTGTTTTGAAGTGTTACATGATCCCTAGAAGCAATTCTACTTGGTGGTTTAATCCATGGAAGAGTTTAGGGCATTAATACACTCCTTTGAGGAGTTCACGGCCCTGGGACCGTTTCCCTTAGATATTACAGCCGTAATCTCTCATGGGAATGAGTTTTTGGTGATTCCAAGTCCCTAAATTAACTAGGAACTTATCCATGCTTGTGTCCAAGGCCTTAGGAGTGATTAAGGCACCTTTTTGCCCTTGAGTTTGGAGTTCACGGTCCAAAAACTTCTTGGGCCGTGAACACCTTACTCTTGGTGTTTCATGGACGATTTCTAGTCTTATATACACTAATATATAAGCCTAAGGTAGTTACATATCACGGGAAAGGACTAGGCATCAATTTAAGAGTTTACTCCCCAAGGTGTTCTTGGGCGGTAAACTCTTGAATCTAGTTGTTTTGTTATGAAATTGATGTTATTAAGCACATTATAAGCCATATAATACAACTAGAGAAAGGTACTCACGATTTGGGATGAAAACCTGAAGATCCGTGAGAGAGAAAATGGCTTTTCTCTAGTTGGAAATGTAACAAATGAATGAATATGGCTTAAAATTCTATATACAGTCCTGAGATTTTTGGAAGAAATATTTTATTCACGAAATGAACTCTAATATAATAGTTTTAGAATAACAGAGTTGCACAAAACCCTAGTGCATCCACTCTCCTGATATCTCCTTAAGTGTAAACCCTGAAATACTCAAACTTATACGGAAAAGTCTAAAAATTTACTGTGACTGTTCTAACTTCTGTTGACTTGATAATGTTCGTACATAATGGAAATTTCGGGTTGTCACATCACCCTATGTCCAACCTCGCCCCAACAAACTGGGGTGCAACATTTCTTCCCATACAACAGCTCGAAAGGCAGGGCCCCAAACTTGGAATGATAGATGTTGTTGTAGGCGAGCTCTGCAAGCGGTAGGTAGGAATCCCAACTCCCACCAAAATCAATGACACATGCCCTCAACATATCCTCGATGGTCTGAATGGTTCCCTCGCTCTGACCATCGGTTTGAGGATGAAACATTGTACTAAAATGCAACCATGTGCCCAGTTCCTCGTGGAACTTCTGCCAGAAACTAGTAGTAAATCTAACATCTCGGTCGGAAACAATGGAGACCGGAACCCCATGGCGAGCGACAATCTCACGAACATACACGTTATCCAACTTCTCGGTTGAGGAACTCTCCCATATAGCCAAGAAATGGGCACTCTTGGTTAATCAATCTACGATGACCCATATAGCATCAAACCCATTTGCGGTCCTCGGCAGTTTGGTATTGAAATCCATCGTGATCTGCTCCCATTTCAACATGGGAATTTCCAGAGGCTGCAACATTCCATGCGGCCTCTGATGCTCGGCCTTGACCATCCTACAAGTCAAGCACCTCTCGACATACCAAGGGATTTCCCACTTCATACATGGCCATCAATAACTCAAACTCAAGTCTCGGTACATTTTGGTGGCCCCCGGGTTAATAGAGAAGTGAGACTTATGAGCCTCCTCCATGACTATTTATTTGACCCCACCAGACATCGGAACCCATACCCGACCGCACCGGGTCAATAATCCCTGGCTATCCTGCACAAACCGGGTGTTCTCACCTTTGATCCTTTCCAACTTCCAGTTCTCCGGTCGCATGCCCTCAACCTGTGCATCCCTGATGTGACAACCTGATATTTCAACTCTATGTAACGACCTAAAAAGTCAAGTCTTCTAACCACGTTTGTTATAATGAAATTAATTTCGAAAATAAAATGTCCAAAAATCACTAATTTAAATTACATGTTATGTTAGATGTCATTAAACCGTGATCGTACGTAAAAAGAACACCCAAATTTGACTTTGTATAAGGAAGTTATGAATTTTCTAAGTCTGGCTTAGCAACAGATAGCTAAAAACTCGAAACGGAGATCTATCGACTTTTGGCCGGAATGACCTAAATGAGAATCGAAGGTCTCGACAATGGTTTTTCAACGGTAAAAAGTCTGGCAAAAACAGACGTCAGATAATGAAGTTATGAATTTCTAATGAAATTTTCTTACCACGACCTTTTAAAAATAAATAATAAAAATAATTTCAAAATTTGCCGACGGAATCTAAACGAAAGTTGTAGAGTATAGTCTCACTTACGCATGGATACAAAGAACGTTGAAAACGGAGTTTTTATGAAGAAGATATGTAATTTTGAAGTTTATTAAATATTAAAAATATAATCTTTAATTTAATTTCGGTATTATCCGAAGGCTGAGTCACGGGCCGATCCGAGTTACGCCTAGTGTACACTCGTATGCCCAGCGTACTCGAGACCTAGGCCTCGGATCATCCACGTTGCCCCTATCCGAGGCTATTCCCCGTCCCATCCGAAGTCCGAGGCAGTCGAGGATGCTGTCATGCATGACGCACGAGTACGCCTAGCGTACCGAGGCGGTTCCCACTCCCTATAAAAGGGATGCGAGGGTTCCGAAGAAAAGGGCCAATTCCTCTCATCTCGCCTCCTTCGATCTTTCAAGTGAGTTCATACTCCTACAATCCACACTTTTAAATGTTTTATGAATACTTTTATATGCTTTTAAGGGGGGGGGGGGGGGGAATACAAGTAAAACACTCGATTATTATCGTGTGTTATATAAAGTTTCCACTACTAGAAAAACAGCCTTTTACGACGCTCATTGCGCGTCGTAAAAGGCTCAGACGATGCGCAAATGCGCGTCAAGGAAGGCCCTGTCATAAAGAGAGACGACACGCTTTTGCGCGTCATCTATAGACGACGCGCATTTACGACACACAATTACGACGCGCGTTCACGACACGCAATGCGTATCAAGGAAGGTCCTGTCATAAAGGAAGACGACACGCATTCGCATGTCGTAACCTTACGACGCGCGTGTTAATGACACGCAATGCGTATCAAGAAAGCCCCTGTCAAGAAAGGCCATGTCATAAATGAAGATGACACACATTTTTGCGTATCATAAATTTAAATGTTAAAAAAAAAATTATGTATAGATTTACTAATTTTCAAATTAAATTTGTATTTAATGCCTTATAATAGAAAATAAATATCATATACAAAAAATACAATCCATTGCATAAATTTTAATGTCATACAAATAAAATACCATAAATAACAAAGATAACTTATTTCACTAATATGTCAAATACAAATAATTATTCCAATACTGAGTAAATGTTATATAAAAAATGAACTCAAGAGAAGCAGAATATACAATTGCATTATCTAGCTTACTATCTGCCAACAATTCTCTGTGTGTTTGCTTTTCGCTTGAGTCTCGTTTCCTCCAAAACTTCTAGATACAGTGGCTTGCTTCTTCCTCATTACTGTAAGTAGAACCGAATTACATTAGATGCTAATGTAATTAATTATGTTGCAAAGGATAAGGGTGGGGCTACTAGAGAGACTTATTTATATTCAGCTAGAGCATAAGTATCTTTATGAATCTTAACTAACATGAGAACAAAAGGCTTATGGGTGTTAATATAGACTCGTTCAGGGGCACAACCATAAATAAACAATTAAACACTACATGTGGGTTTTATGTTAGAACAAGGTTGCAAATGCAGTTGTAAACATGCATGAATTATAAACATCATGTAATAAAACTAATTGTATTTTACTCTAAATTCAATAGAACATTACAATTATTCATTTTTTAAAGTCTCAAATCATTAATCTTGTAATTCATTCCACTTCCATTTGTAGTATGATGAATCTGAACACAGAAGTGAAATGGCAAAGAATTCTTTAGAGAGATATACTCACTATTATGAACGTTGGGCTACTAACCAATCGGTATACAAGGGCATAATTGTAATTTTCTATATATTTGTAAATTTATGTTTGTGATACATAATACTTTGTTTCTTTTTTTTTTCACAATAACAGTCGAGGCAAAAAACACTTGTAGATTTACTGCATATGCAAACAGTTTATGTAAGTTAGAATTCCAATATTTTTTTTTGGTAATATTATATTAAAAACTAAAAAGTCTTTTTTTTTTCGTATTTTATTAGGTTTATTAACATCTGGTAAAATTTCATCTTGCAAAACTTAATATATTTTTTGTATTCTAAATGATGGTTTTCTATTGAAGATAGTTGAATGTAGGCGTTAAAATGGACATATGCGCATGGGTATTAGGTTGGGATAAATTCGTAAAATTTAACTGTGTGTATATGATAGAAATGTAGCTTTAGAACAAGTAGAACAATTACAATATTATCCTCCAGGGAACAAATAGACTTACCACTTGAGATGCATTAGGAGTGAGTTCAATAAAAGATCCAACAGCCCTGTAATTTCACTTTCTGTCCACCATAAATCCCTAAAAAGCTTTAAAAAATCAGCATCTGATACGTTAAAAATGAAATACTATAATACTCCAATCAAAAGGCTGTTTTGCTCCCTTGAAATTAATCTAACTCAAATGTTGAAATTAATATATATATATATATATATATATATATATATATATATATATATATATATATATATATGGTAAAGAAGTCAAAAACTGTGTACTATTGAGCCTATGACAGTGAAAGTAGTATTCATGTTTTTATAGAACTTAAAAGAACAAGAATCTGGAACAGATATGATGCATATAGAGACAAGAGATGGCATCATTAAAAGATGATAGTGTGTGGATAGAAATGTGCTTCCTTTAAAACCTAAATAAATTGACTACAAACCCAAGATATATACATCAGCTTGACCTGCATGAGCCAATGGTTTTGTGACTACACCAAACTAAGAAACACTAAAAAAAGTTCCATGATGCGATTACAGAACCACAAGGTGCCTCCCTGTGAAATTACTTTTCAAATGTCATTGGAGATGAAAGGATATGTTGAGACTTTTTAGGTTAAACCTTAGACTTTCAAATTCAAAATTAACCTGAATGATCTACCAAATTTAACCTAAAAGTAGGAATTTCATAAACTTAACCTTTTCAGTGCGACAATTTGGTTGACATTTGTGATTTATAAAACGACCCAAGTTTCCTTTAGCACGAGCATCTATAACCTGAAAATAAAAACAATAAAAAAGAAACCATGTGAATAGAGCTTTATGATAGGAATCACAGCCGCCACTAGTTATATTTTCAGTTTTTTGTTGTTTTTAAGCTATCCAATTTTATTTATCATATGAAGATAACTATATTAGTTGTTGGGTGATCTAATGGATATATGAGTTGCAACCGAATCCGGATAGTCCCTTTTATATCCGGAGTGGAAATAGTTTTTCCCTTTACCAAATTATATGATATAGTACTCAACTAATCATGGATAATCAATGAATCGCGTGATGTACCTTCATAACAGAGAAAAATTTAACCATTTGCTCTTTGAGCATGGCTGACATTTCAATGTCGAGCCTCCCTGCATCCACCTGGTTAACCCTAGATATTACGGTTCGAATTGCAGACTGCAAACAAATTTACCAACAAAAAATGAGAGAAACATGTATACGAAATGCACAACAGAAAGAGAAACATGTATACATAAACTTTGAATAGATTAATCATTCTATGAAACAAAGAAATGAGAATAGAAATTCAAATGATATACCTGGAAAGTTAGTGTGATTAAACTTCCACAGGTGGAGCACCACCAGTCGATGATGAAGGTGGGGGAATCGTGGGAGCAGAGGTGGAATTCGCTAATTTTCTCAAATATGTTTCAATTCTTTTTTAGTTTTTTTTATAGTTACGGATTTTACATTTGAGGATTTTTTTTGCTAATAAACATTTTATCATTTATGAGTGTAGAAACAAGATAATTTGGAATTTGAAATACAAGTGAAATCAAGAAAGTGAGATTGATAGTTTGGTACTTGATACTTGATAGATTGATTAAAGATGGCCAAAAAAGATGTGTTTTTAATTACTAAATAAGCATAATATAATAATAATTAGCTAAACTACACCATAATCGATATATATATAATTATGAGGTACCTTTAAAAGTTCCTAAATTAATTAATCACTGCTTCTCTTCACTCTTTTGTTCTCCATCATTCATCACTTGACCTCCTGCAGATTTTAAGTTCATGATTATTTATTTACTTGTTAATATGATTAAAAGAAATAACTAATAGATTGAACGAATGGAATTAAAAAAGGAATGGAATGACACAATGGAATTAGAAATGAAAGGAATGGAATTACCAGATGGACATCATCAAACACATGAGCTTGACCACCATAAAATATAGTCATCCAGCGAGTTGGGGTGGAGCATGAATCAGTATTACCAATCACTGACTTCTGTTTACTGCCGCTTGGCTCAGCCACTCCACCACCACCACTGCCACCACCATTGCCAGAGGAGGTCAAAATCCCAGAGCCTTTGATTCCAGTTCTGGAACCTTCATCAGCAGCTGATTGAGAAATCAAAGAGGGACCCACATTCACATTCACATTCATATTGCTATTGGTATCTTTGAATCTATTTTGAACAGGTTGATACTTGTAATGTACAACTTGAGCAGCAGCAGGTGGAGGGTACTGAAGTACAGGCCCAAGGTTTACAGGAATGGCTCGTTCCCATTTTAATGATTTCGCATGATCAGGTTTACCAGGTGGTGGTTGTTGTTGTTGTTGTAGCATTAGAGACGATGATGATGATGTTGGCTGCATTTGATGCATACCCATGAATGATTCATCCTCATGAGGCCATGTATGGTGTTTTCCTCCTACATTTCTCAGCGTCTAACCAAAAAATGTTCAGATTCATCATTCATGAAGCCAAAGTGGAGTTAAGATGTGGTATTTCTCATTGAGGCATTTCATCGAACATGTTGAGTGTATGTTTGTATAGTAGGACAAGAAATTGAGAAAAACGTACCTTCATTAAGTGTAAGGTTTCAGGAAAGTCTGGCCACAATTTTGGGATGGCTTCTCTTGAAGGCGCCATGAAAATAGAATCTGAGTTGCTGTGTTTGGTCCCAGAATACCTAATCTGGGAGGTTGAAAAATCGGTTTTTTGACCATAGAATGGCACCCCTTCGAGGTGTAACCCAACTTGCCTTTCTGCCATGGTTAAAACAGGAAGATCATCAATCAAACACGCCAAGATGGTTCTTTTACATACGATTCAAACTCATTGATCAATTATAATGAGTAATAGGGGTAAATAGTTGAATTTCGCTTCAAAATTTGTAGAAAAACGTACAGTTTATGGTGATGGTATCAATGAAACTAACCCACTGAAAGATACCTATCCCATAAAAAAATCAAGTCTTTCTATTCTATTATGAAACTGAGAACTCATGAACTAGTATCTGATGCATCAAAATTTGTACCAAATGTGATCATTTTCTTGTAAGATTGAAGCCAAAGAGTAACAGTAGATTTCACTGAAAACCCTTTCCCGGTTCGCTTGACCTTTGGTTACCTTAGTCGATCGATTCAAGCTTTCAATAAAAACCCTAGGTAGCGATTGAGAGAGACAAGAGAGAAAGGAAGTATCGTCGATAATTAGGGCAAAAGGTAAAGAAGAAAAAGATAGCGGGGTTTTTTATTTTTTAGGATTTCATTTCCCCCCAATGGAACGTGCATTCCGTTAAAATTTATAAAGCGACATCTTTAGACGACACACATTTTATTATAGGTGCCCTCCGTGTTTTTTTTTTTTTTTGTTTAGACACTAATCTAAGGGCACACAATAATGCGGGACCTAAATCCTTAAATTTTTTGAAGAGACGACACTTTTTTAATGTCACTCTCTTTTACGTAACATAAATCAATGAGTGTTGTTGTTTGCGCGTCGTAAAAGGGTCTTTTTCTTGTAGTGTTCATTATATGCTTTTTATCAACGGAATCATATGTGATTTATAACTATTATAGGGAAACTTTCGTATGCAAATTATACCACGATAACATCTTATATTTTGAAATAAGAAATGATTTATATATTTATGTAAATCAAACATGCTGTTTATACTACACGTATATGTGTCCAGTTTTGACACTACAAAAATTAAACTTTTCATAACAAGTGAGCATTTCACTAGGGATTACTATACAAACGAAACACACTTTTAGAAAAATCTAATAGGTATAGTTTTACGAGAACACTACGAACTTTTACATACTGGAAATATTATTTCAAGAAGTTACTTTCATATACAAGAACAAATGAGCAATTTCACACGTAAATTTGTTTTATACCAAGTTTTGTGAGACATTAAACTTCACGTACACTCGGGTACACATTTCAAGTCCTGTATTATATACCAGAATCCCTTGGAGGGGGAGCATGGTGTTTGTGTATAGATCTATACAGGATTGACAACCCCACACCCTGACTGTTAGCTACAGTACATAATTTGGGGTGATAAATGTAAGAACATTCCAACGCCTGAAGAACGTTGTGTATAGGCCTTTCTAGTCAATAGCATGGTTATAAAACTCACATGGGGTATTAAAAACACATCAATTTACGGGTTTTTTCATACGCATTGGAAATTTTATACGTACATAAATTAACTACTTTAGGCATGAAAACCCTAATTGTGATACAATTTTGGTACTTCTAAACCACTTCCCACATACGGAAAAACATAAATTTTCTAGAAACAAACATTGGTATTGATTTAAGGCTACATTTTTACTAGTAGAAGATAAGGTATTTTCTAGGAACCAACAAACAAAAACAAACCATTTCATTTTAGTTCATACAAACATTATCATTTAATACTTATGAAACTCACCAGCTTAAATGTTGATCTAATCTTTCAAAACTACTTGTATGTCCCAGGGACTCAGTAATTGCAGGCACCAAACAGCTTTTTGAAGAAGGAACGCTGCGGCGCCAGTTTAAATTCATATTTTTGGCATCATATTGTAATTGGTTTTGAACATGTACCTTTTAACAATGTAAACTTTCAATTATATATATGATGGTTGTATTACTTTCTTTACTATGTATTCATTTGTTACGTTACCACATCAAGTCATCCGCCCCCGAACGTTTCTGCCGTTCCAGTTTGGGGGTGTGATAGATTGGTATCAGAGCAATGTTTATAGTGAACTAAGTATATCGAACCTCATAAGATATACAAACTATAAATGCTTAGGGACTCAGAGTCTCTGACAAAACGTTTTTACTCCTAAAACCTTATTTGATTTAGATAGATTATTTTAGGTTGTTAGAATACAAAATACATGCATACAACGAAATATTTTCATGATGAGCGCTATACAAAAAGTATTAAGACGAGTTGGACACTACGATTAGTTCTCGATATATGTAATCGAATTTGGGACGAATATAGTCTGATCAACTATATTTATCTGAGATTGGACTAACGTATGTCGAGGAATGATCGTAGTGAGCAACAACTCAAAACTTACCAAAATAGACACTAGTATCAAACATACAAATTTAAATACTATAGGATTATTTGGCGCATACAATAGATTAATTGACATGTTTGGTGTTACATGTTTTCAAGTTTTGTTCAAATCTTATAACCCTATTCTCGTATAGTCAAATGGCTGGATTTCACCCACAAGGGGACCCCTACTACCCAAACCAGGGCAATGGAGGATGGGTAGAGGAGGATCCTGAAGAGGATGAAGAACCTATCTAGTTGGAAGAAGGGGATGACTCTGGTACGGACTCAGAACCAGAAGTAGTTGACCCTCCAGCCATTAGGAGGAACTTCTAGGGACCAAATCCTGTCTGGGGAAGTCACCTCCACCATTGGAGCCAACAACAAGGGATACGCTCTCCCTACGGTATGTGTCTTCCAATAATGGTAGGTAAACTAGCCAACCAGTCCTATCAATTGGGGGTCCAAGCAAATCGAATCCGTGAAGTCAACGTGGAAGTACAAGTTCACATGGCCAACATCCGTCGTCTGGATATGTTGTAGGATGACACCCATCTACGCACTGACACATGCCAAACACAAATGATTGCAGCCCTCACAGAGTTGAGGGAACAACAAGCCGCCTTTAATAAGCGTCTTATGGAATCAAAGTGATAAGTTTAAAATTAAACTAGAAGATTGATTAGATCTATGAAACAGGTTGAGAAATAACCAAAGAAACAACAAGAACAAGCAAATGGATCAAAAGGTGTCGAATGATTAATAAACAATCCTTAGATGAGCTCGATAAAGAACATCAACTGTAGAGGATTATAGGGTTTACAGTAATCAATGAGAATGACGACAACTTCTACATACGCATACATGCATGCATATATTTATATTAAAACCCTAACAATTTATCTAAGAAAAAGGAGGCTAATCTAGATAAACATGGATTGACAAGCCCAATCCGGTTGTAAAACAAAAGGGCCCAAGACGCAACACATTAATCTTCAACAATCTCCCCCTTTGCGTCTTTGGCACAAAGGCTTCATTCCCTTTTAACAGCAGATGGTTTCTTCACCGTCTCAAAAATCCTCGGTATAATGGCCAGAATGTGATGCCTGAAAGTGATATACCACCGAAGCATATCTGTGAAATTCTTCTTGTCTGCTGTAGAGTTCTGCTTGCATCGGTGAATGATGTTTATGATATGCTCCAGGCAATCTGTTGAAAACAGATTCTTGTCTACCAAAGCAAACAGAAACTTGTGCTTATCGCCTCTTGTGAACATGACCGTCAGATTTGAAGAGTCAATTTGCCCTAACTTCATTTTGTGCACATCTCCTGTCTTGGAAGTAGGCTTGACGGTCGGTTTCTTGTTCATTATTTTTGCTATTTCCTGATCCATAGTGGTAAGCTCATGGATATAGGAAGCCAACATTCTTTTGAGATGTTTCAGAAGCGGTTCATACTCTCTTTGATTTGAGAGAAGAATGTTGTATAGCAGAATCCAATCATGAGGATTCAGACTGGGAAGATCTGCCAGAGAAATAAAATGTTCTGTGTTGGCCGTTCCTCTGTTGACTTTGAAGTTAACGTTCACAAATTTCCCAGCCTGTGTTGGTTTCAGTACCTTGACCTTTACAATCTTCTGTGCACTCCATGTCAAGTACTGTGGTTGACCATACTTCAAATAAAAATCTATCAATTCTTTGTCAACCTTCAAGTTTTTGATGAGGGACATCAGCAGTGACATCGAAGCAATGAAATGTAAAAGCCTTTCGTGTGATCGGCATGTCAAAATGCGAGTCTTTGGTATTCTCACACTCAAAAGATGCAATCGGTTCCAACCAATACATGGAGGGAAACTCAATCGCTTGATTAATGAGTGTGTCTCTATCCCATTCTGGGAACAGAGTCTTCTTGGCCTTTAAAGCATCATCATCCTCCTTGATTCTTCTTTCTTTGGCCTCTGCCTCTCGAGCTATTTTCAGAGTCTCATCCAGCTCTTTATCTCTTTTCTTTCGTTGAAGAGCTTCAACAATAGTTTCATCAGTATCTGACTCGCTCTCAACAAGTAATTGTTTTCCAGAACCCGAAGCTAAATTAACCTTCGGGTCTGTCTTTGGTATACCCTCCTCTCCCCCTTGTCTCCGAAGAACAAGCTTCTCCGAGACACCCTTCATCTCGCTCATAATGGTAATGGCAGGAAGGATTTTAGCCTGGAGATGCTGTCGGATGGTAAGGGTAAGAAAGGTATCATGAGTTTCGAGGACATTCGTCAACATGTTCTTGACATCACCAGCGCAACCTTGAAGAACAGCCCGCTGAGTTTTAAGTAAAGAGATTTCTTGTTGTGCCTGGGCCAGTTGTAGCTTCTGAAGGTCAATAGTTGCCTGATGCTTGACAAGATCCTCTTTTAAAGTGCTCTCTGCTGCTAGAGAAGCAAAACGTGAATCCAAAGATTGAAGACAAGAGGTGGATTCAGTTTTGAGGTCAGCACGCAGAGCCTCGAACTTGGAAGTTTCACCCTGAAGGGTAGCCGAAAAGGAGTCCACAGACGTTTGATACTTGGCCGCATTAGCATCAGCATGTGCTTTGAGAGAATCGAGAAAAATCTGAGTTGTGTGTACAACCTCAGAGACTTTGTGGATTTGGAGCACGAAGCGGCTGATTTGTCAATAGCATCAGTGGAGCGATCTAGAGCATCAGTATA